TATATATATATATACGCAGTGTTCAACATTCTTATCGGTGGCCACCTTTATGGACAATTTAATTTTCACTTTTTGAAATGAAATCGACTTTATTCTTCGAACCCGGAGAACAGCAAAAGAATAGTTATTCTAAAGCTGGTTGATAGTAATACTGGTTTAACGATTCAGACGAAGCAAACAATAGTGCTTTGCGGAGGGTTTATTTCGGCGGAGATTTTCACACTTGTCGCGTCTCCCCAGGATAGACAACCACTGCGCAATTTGTGTGATGAGTAACGACGTAATTTAAATTTTTATTTTACATATTTTTTAAATAAGGAATTCCATGCATAAGTACAGGTATTTGTGAACTCCGTGCTTGAATCAATCAAAATCAAATGTACATTACCCTTCTGCGTCGTCTGTGCATGCGTGACTGTTTGTGTGCGTGCTCGTGTAATTAAATGTGTCTCTGTTCATCTATTGAAAACTTATTAAGGCACATGTGTACAGACACGCTCTATCTCTCTTCTTCACACATACGCACGTAAAGATGTTTATCGAGTATTCCCGTTTGGTGGTTTAGTCCACATTTGGACCAGCTGTTTTCTGGTGTGATGATAGTGATGATAATCATGATGTTCCGAGCCTCAAGGCCGTCGTGTGGGTGGTGCAAAGGCCGCACAAAATGAAGATCATTGTATCTGTTTATCTGATGGTAAAAAACATAACTTCCTTTATGTACCTCGGTTGCTCACTTTCTCTCCATTTGTCCACTGGGGAATCGTTCTTGTCGATTGTTCTGTTCGTTGTATCACGTTTATTTTGTTTTTGTTGCCTCAACCTGGGATTGATTGTCGACACCCGCACCCAAACGCATTGTGATTGGAATCACTTCTTCATCTCACAGTCCGGGTCGCTGAAATGCGTTCATCGTTGAGTGCTCGTTCGTTTGACCAGTAAAATTATGGAGCATCCGACCCTGACAGAATGCAGTGGTAGCCTAATTTTGATATGCATCACCGGTTTTCTAAGTTTGACTTTTTGATTAGTGCTACGTTGCACGTCCATTTTGGCGGTTCGAGCTTTAGGTGAAATTATGCTACGACGAAGCAGTTCATTGAATATGAATGGTTAGCACAATCATTTGACCAATCTATTCGGTTCTTCAAGAGATATCCTTATGCATATGTTTGATGGCTACGTGTAGCACGTACCAGCAATTCATTAAAAAAATTATTTCCATCGAGGTATTTTCAAACTTCTTAGGCTGGTATTGTTCACCTGCTCGCTATATCTCTACTGACCGTTACCGACAGCCTCGACTCGATAGGTATGCTGCACACAGATATCGCTTTTCATAGATTTGATACAGAACTGAACTCAATCCCCTCCCGCCTCGTGATACCCCTCAGTAACAACCAAATACTGTTTTGAACACTGGAGGTCTTTGTCACCGCGCTGTACGACTGTTTCATTCCAAATAAACCATGAACCATAGTCTATTCTTATAGTCACATTTAAGAGCAGAAGCAGTCAACTATACACGCTGACCACCTCCACAATTTAGCTGTAGGCAGTTCTGCTGTCGTCCTTTTCGTGTTATCCCACTTTTATTTTTGGAGCCCTGGCTGGTTTGCCACGCTTATCGTGACAGTTAAATCGCTATTTGCAATAACTACGTAGTACGTACTTCCTCTTCACTATCCCTTCTGTTCCCGGTCACGCTGTGACCTTGTGTGGAGAACTATGTCTATCGCGGACTCCTTTGTTTTGGGAGCACATTATTTTGAGACCATTATTCAAATATAAATGTACATATCCATTGGAAAGGGTCGAGCAAATTCACCATGCATGATCGGATTAGTGAGCTTTTCGTTATCAAAGTTTATCGCTGGTTTAAAGGTCTCGTACACAGTTATTTTATTTGTTGCGCTGAGCGGTGCGTCATTGGCCGTGTTTGAACACGCTTTTTTTGTTCACAAGACTGATCGCACGTGTAACCACCGCCGTGTTCACATAGTCAAACGCTTTCTTTCCCTCTGATCTTGGTTCACAGAATCAGCATCTACTCTCAAGAGAATCTGGACTTGAAGCGACGCGTGGATGGTTTGGAGAGCACAAATCGCTCTCTGCTCGGACAACTTCGATTGTTACAACAATTAATCAACAAATCCAAGAGCACCAACGCAAATGGAAGCATAAACGGCACCAATACCGGTCCTGTCTCATCGTTTTCAAA